GGACACGGAGTCCTCAGGGACACGGAGTCCTCAGGGACACGGAGTCCTCAGGGACACGGAGTCCTCAGGGACACGGAGTCCTCAGGGACACGGAGTCCTCAGGGACACGGAGTCCTCAGGGACACGGAGTCCTCAATCTCTTTTTCTGTATCCCTTGTTATCAATGAACAGGAATCCTCTATACTGAGGACAGTATGTTTACTATATCCACAATTATTTACAAACACTTGTTGTGCTTGTACCCGCTCTCCATCCTGAATCGGCTGTCACAGAAGGCTGAGCGAGCGGGGAGGAGAGCTCGATCTGACAGTTGACTCCACCCCCCCAGACCCCCGCTCTCCTGATCTGTGACAGGAGGCTGAGTGGTGTGGGAGGAGACGCCGGCTGCTCACAGCGCTCTCCTCCCGCACTGCTTGGCCGCCTGTGACAGTTTCTCTCCTCCCCGCTGGAACACAGAGCAGCGCTCAGCGAGGAGGAGAGAACGGATGCACCGCTATTTCAGCCAAAAAATTGCAGTTTTGGCGCCCGAAATATCTGTGCATGCCTAGTCCAAACCTAACACACAAAAAAAGGTTTTGGCTTGTATCTGTGTGCATATTGTATGATAGACAAAAAATACTGTGCATCACCTTCAGTATAACATAAGGACCGTATGCAATGTACCCGGTTTCTGGTAACATTGTTTTGATATTTCCTGGTGCTATTTTATGGGTATTTTGAGCAAGTACACTTTCGCTGATCGAAATGACTGTGTGATCTCTAGAGCGTGTTGTCTTATATCGATGGCTAGCCGTATACTCGGGGAGATGAGCGGGGGAAGCATAGGGTGTATATTTCAAACTAGTTACATATGCCGTGGTGTTACCTAATATATATGTCTATCCTGATCCATGCAGTTGATGTAAACTTCTGCCCTCTTCCTGCACTGTACCATATAATTGGGTTGTGATTTTTCTAATTTTACCCCTGTGGGTTCTACAAAACCTAATGTGTTGGGTGTAGAATGTCAGGAAGGTTGGAGTTTTCCCCAAGCCAAGGTGCTGAAAGGCTAAAATTGCAACGTATATGACACCCATAGGTGTGAGAGGACTGCGTGGGACAAACAGACTCGCACGCTGGATTGCCCCGTGTGCCTGTCGGTCGGCCAGGGTGAGAACCTCACTGACTTGGTGTATC